TAAACCCCAAAAAAAAAAAAAAAAAAAAAAAGGCAGTGGGCCAGCTTCCAAGAAAGGAATCTCACCATCAGGGTTTTGATATGGGATTGAAGACGTGGAGTCTGAGTTAGCAAATAGAGTACCTCAAAAACGCATTTTCCTGGGCTTTCTGCTCACTGTAAACCTCCCAGAAACACCTGCATTGTTACTGAAGTTGTATACATCAAAGCTGTGAATGGGCAAGGTCACAGGAGGTCTCTTCCCCTGGAGGATTTTTTTTTGTAGTCTCGGGCTGCTTTTGGTCAGTGTTAGTACATTCCCTTGTGGCTTTGCTTTAATGGGGGTGGACTTTTGCTGCTGATGATTTAGACCCTTTTGCTGCCAATAATCACACATTGGTCAGGATGTGTGTACAGTTGTACTTGATGCAGGAGAGACCTAATCCAGAATGTGACTTCCAGGTTTCCAGTCTTAGCACTGGGCCAGTTCCATTTGCAGGAGCAGCACAGCCTAGGCTTGAAATCGGGGGTTGAGTTTGGCACAGGCAGAAGTGGAAGCTTAGGGGGAAACTGAGTCACAGGTCTGCAGCTAGGAGGAGGGACTGGGTCTTGAAACAGTTCTTGCAGCTGAAGGTAACCATTTCTCCAGTGAGAAGGGAGTCTGTCCTCCGTCATCTTTCCCTTATAGTCAGAAATGCCAAGCCCCACATTACCAAGGGCTTGTCCTGCATCCAGCTAAGGAGAAGAAATGATAAAAATAAGTAGGCAACCCAATCCCGGGAGGGAGAGAAGAGGTATTGTGTGGGCCGCTGTGAACAGAAGGGTTGAGCTCTGCCCAAGCCCCTTAATCCCCGTGGCTGACTGCGGACTGCCCGTCTCTCTGCTACTCAGCCCACATACTCAGCACAGAGGTTCCTGGGGAGAAACCTGACCTCCTTCGGACACCTTTCTTCCCTGGATGCTCAGCCCCTCATCCTTAGCATACCAGCTGGAAAGAGGACATGTGGCTCCTTCCAAAAGGACCAGGGGTTTAGAAGTCTGGAGAAAAGCCAGGCACAGTGGTGCACACCTGTAATCTCAACACTCTGGGAGGCTGAGCCAGGAGGACTGCCAAGTTCAAGGCCAGCCTAAGCAATTTATCAATTTAGTGATATCCTGTCTCAAAAATACTATAAAAAGGAGCTGGGGTTGCAGCACAGTCTGAGGCCCTGGATTCGATCCCTAGTACCAATAAAAAAGAAGGGAAAGGGGAAGGAGCAGGGGAGAACTGGGAGGGCAGGGGTACCAGGGCTCTAGAAGAATCTAGGACTCCTGAAATCACAGAGAGAGGCCAACAGGAACAATGGATAATGGTGTGGGACACTGGACAACTGAGAAGGAGGGGTACAAAGTACTAAGTCTCTGGGGGAAGTAGAGAAGCAAGGACTGGGAGCAAGGACTGGACCCCCCAGAGCTGGCATAAAGTTCTGGGGCTCAAGCACAGCAAAGACCCGTTTCCTGGGAGAGAAGCAGCCTCTTGACTCCCACCCAGCCCGTGTGCCTGTCTCCCTCAGGTCTCTCCACAAGCCCCTGGCCTGAGTCCAACTGGACTGCCCCACGGGAGTTCATAATCCTGGGCTTCTCTGGGTGGCCCCCGAGCCTGCGAGTGCTGCTCTTCGGCCTGCTCCTGCCGCTCTACCTGGCCACCCTGGCAGGGAACCTGCTCATCCTGGGCCTGGCCCTGGCCGCGCCCACGCTGCGCACACCCATGTACTTCTTCCTGGGTGCACTGTCAGCCGTGGAGGTAGCCTACACCCTGGCGCTCACCCCACGCATGCTGGCTGGCTTCCTCCTGCCTCCTGGGGGCCAGGCTGTGGCCCCCTCCACTTGTGCTGCCCAGATGGGCCTTTTTGTGGCTCTGGGTGGCTCTGAGTGCCTGCTGCTGGCCGCCATGGCCCTGGACCGCTACCTGGCCATCTGCCACCCACTGTACTACCCTCAGCTAATGACCGCAGGGCTCTGCTGGGTCCTTCTGGCCTGCAGCTGCACGGGCGGCTCAGTCTTGGCTGTAGGCCTCACCAGCGCCATCTTCCAGCTCCCCTTCTGCCATGGTGGCCTTGTCAACCACGTCTTCTGTGACCTCCCAGCTGTGCTGGTGCTGGCCTGTGGGAACCGGAAACTGCAGGAGTACGTGCTCCTGGTGGCCTGCCTGTTGCTGCTGGTGCTGCCGCTGTTCCTGATACTGCTCTCCTATACCAGGGTGCTTGTGGTCATCCTGGGGGTTGGGGATGCTGCAGGCCGGCGCAAAGCCTTCAACACAGTGGCATCCCATCTCACGGTGGCCGTGCTGCACTACGGCTGCGCCACGGCCATGTACTCCAGGCCCCTGAGCAGCCGCTCCCTGGAGGAGGACAAGCTGGTGTCGCTCATCTATATCAACCTCACCCCGTTGCTGTACCCAGCCATTTACACACTGCGCAACCGGGACATGCAGGGAGCCCTGCAGCGAGCCATCAGCCAGAGGACATCAGGGACGGCCCACCAGGCTAAGCTTACCTAACACTGGGCATTGGCTCCTGAGATTTCCCCTGCTGTAGGGAATCTGTCTGTGCCAGAGACATCTGAGGCTCCCAGCGCTCACTGGACAGAAACTTGGGAAGGGCATCCAAGGACCTCAAAATCCAGCTCCTACGCAGCTCAGTATCTGTGGGCTCTGTTGTGGGGGACACTATGTACTGTAGAATGTGGAGTACCTCAGGCCTCCGCTCATTCAATGCCACCCCTGACATGTGACAATAAAAAATGTCACTGGAGGGCGAGGGTGTAGCTCAGTGGTAGAATGCTTGCTTAGCAATGCACAAGGTCCTGGGTTCAAACTGGAAAAAAAAAAAAAAAAAGAAAGAAAAGTCATTTGACACTATCCACAGGTTCCCTGAGGGGAAAATAACTGCTGGTTGAAAACTGCTGCTCTACTCCTTGCTACACAATATCTTCTGAAGAGAAACAAGGGCTTCTGTACAAGTTTTCAGAAGCATTCTTTATAGACAAAGACAAAAGTAATATGTGTAAATGGGCACTAAAAAGAACTGGGGGCATATTCGCTCAATAAAATACAGCGATGCCTCGGTTCTTGAATGCTTCCATTCAAGAACACTGCATGGCCGTCTTCCCTAGAATCGTAGAATGCAGATGGCAAACCGAGGTCCCACTGTACTACACAGCTGTTAAAAAGGAGGAACCACAGCTGCCAGCTGTGATGTCCAAGAAGTGAGACCCAGAGAACACTGCCCGTGTGGTTCCACCCAAAGGGCAATGACAAACTAAGTGACAGTGGCTGGTGTCTTTAAGAATGGTTACCTGGGTTTGAGGAGCTGGCAGGGAGGATGGGGAGATCACCTGGGTACTCAAAGAGCTCTGTACCTTGGTTTGGTTGGGAATTATAAGGGAATGTTCATGTGAACAGGCAAACTGAAGACTTGTGTCCTTTAAGGTGTGTAAAACAAGCTCCCTCTGATTCCAACTAATTTCAAGATGCAGCAAACTGTGCCCATGTCTGCCTCTGTCATTGCTGTTGGGTGGCCCTGGTGCTCCCAGTTCTCTCCTGTGAAAATCCCTGTGAATCTAGGATCTGCCCCAGTACTATTTTCTCCATGAAGCCCTCTTGGGCACCTGCCCTTCCATTATGACCACTGTGCCCTAAAATGAATTTCAGCCTCTGCTTCAGTGATCGCCCACCCACAATTAGAGTGTGAGCTCTTTAAGGGCAGGTTTTCGGGCTCTCTCCTTATGTTTCAAGATCCATGAACCTGAAATTCTTATTATCTGATGGAAGACTAAACCATAGAAAAGCTCTGGGTTATTTGGGGGTCTTAAATATTGGGGCCCTTGGGACACAGTTCTGAAACCGTACTGAAAACAAGAACCTGTCCCTTGTAGCCTCTCTCTCTTTTCCTTACTTCCTCCATCCTTTCTTCCCTCACCCCTTTTCTTTGTACTGGGGATTAAGCCCAGGGCCTTCACCCTGCACTATATCCCCATCCCTCTTTATTACCCTGAGACAAGTTAAATTGCTAAATTGCCCATGGTGGGCTCAAACTTGCCAGCCTCAGCCTCCCAGAGGAATGGGATTATAGGTGTGTGCCACCCTGCCCAGCCCCTGGAGTCTTTTATTCTAAGCATGTCAGAGTTGGCTGTGAGGAACCAACTTACCAATGCCAAGGTGCCCTGAAAATACTTTTGTACTTTGGTATAAAAAATGGTATTCAAAAAGTCTGAAAGCCCTCAAGCCCAGGATCCAAAATTCCATGGAACTTTTCCCTAAGACGTGACTAACAACTATCCTCAGCCTAAAAATATCTCCTGAAGGGCCTAAAAGTCTTAGGGCAGCATGAGCACAGGTAAATGCAGCCTCTCCACACTCCTAGCTGGAGACTGTACCTCTGTGAATGCTGACTTGGAACCTGGGTGAGCCGTACCTGGTTGGGTGAGATTGCACAAGTCTGGAGAGTTCTTTCCACATCACCTCCAACCTTTCCTTCTGCTTTGCCAGGACCTGAAAGAGACAGAAATCTCAGCATCCTCCCCAAATCCATAGGTAAGAGGGCAGTGATCTCCATAAGATGAGATTTAGGACTGCCTTTTTTCTTTTAAGACTTCATTTGCAGAGTAATTTTAGGTTCACAGAGCAACACACAAGAGTTTGCATGGGAATCCTGAGACATCTGGTTCAAAGGTCATCTCCCCAGAACATTTCATCTTTGCTTCTATAAGTTGTTTCGAAGAACACAGCACACTTTTATATTAATTGTTGTGTTTTTGAACCAGGATATGAATAAGGCCAGTTCAAAACTCAAATGAGGGCCAGAGACTTAGCTCAGTGGCACCACACCTGCCTTGTAGGCCCAAGGTCCTGAGTTCAATCCCCGGGTACCAAAAAAACAAAAATTCAGATGAAACATAGCTCTTGTCTACACACACCCAGGGGGAGAAGGACAAACTTTCCATCCATCTTCCCTTTCCCTGTACATAGACTTTGGTGAATCCTGGGTTTGAATTATGTCTCTGCCAACTCTCTGTCCTGTGTGTCCTCAAAGCCTCAACCTCTAGGCTTTGACATGCAAGGTTCTGGGTTTGCAACACTATACCCTTGCTGTAGCTCAGGATCAACCAGTGCTTGGTGCCCTCTACACAGCTGGCATCAGCAAAGTGATTCTGAGAGGCAAATTATGCATTTAAAAGAGTGTTAGCTTTTGATTGTCCATCATTTCTAGTTGTTTATAAGTAAATTGTTTTGCTTTAGACCTCTATCACATTGCCAGAAAGGGAGTCCTAACCTCACACATTTAATATATAACTTTTAGCTAGTCAATCGAGACAGATCAGAAGATGTCATGAAATCATCAGCTTCCGGATCTAGGGCTCTGTTACAATAAGTGATACCATCTATGGACTTATACTTAGTAAATTCCTACTGTCCCCATTATTAATTACAAAGACAGAGGATACTGTTTAACATAAAAAGTCTTGATTATATATTATTCTACATATTTGGTGTGTAGGTCTACAAAATTCAATGTTATGCTCAGTTCACCAATGCTACTCAAAAATAAATATTCTGTTTTAGTGGCAAACTCAGGAACATAAAAAACTATGTACCATCTGGAATTGTTCTGATGCTTATGAGATCTGCTGTCTTGGTGATTTAACGCATTCCCCTATTGTAAAGCTTAATATTCACAGTTCACAGAGATACCCTTCATCATGGAGTGTACCAGGTAACAATGTATTACTGTACGCTCCATTATCCTGTTCCCACGGAGTTGAGTGATTCGCCTCCCTCTCTCCCCTCATTGTGGTCACCCATGCAACTTGTCCTAGTGTGGAACCAGGGTGGTGGATGAGATGGTCCTGCCCCAGTCTGCTTCTTGCCCGTGTGGGAGGGCACATGCTCCATCAGCCAAAACCCACGAGAGCAACTTTTCTCACATTTGGAGCACTTACAGACCTTCTGTCCCACTGGGCTGGCTCTGGACGGGTCCCCCTCACCTTGTCCCTGGAGTGCATACAGCCTCTCCTTACCTAGTGCACGCAGGGGGCCTCCACCATCCTGATCCACTTCTGGGGCTATGTCCTGACTTAAAGCTCATCCACACTGCATAGATTCAGCAGGCAGAGAAGGCTCAAGCTTCAAATAGAGGAATTCCAACCTCCTCCTGGCTAGGTAGGTGCTGGGACAGCGCCTCGGCTGGCTTCATGCTCTCCCTGCTCGTGTTGCATGCCCACACCTGCTGTGTAGACAGACCGAGGCTTGGGTTCTCTGGGATTTTTGTTCCAAGTTCATCATGTTCACAGAGCCCCAGGCTGGTCAGTTTTTTCTCATCTAGGCTTCCAACTTAACCCCTAGTGTTCGTCTTGATGTTTCTGCGTCCTGTCCCCGTGGGTATCAACTTCCCACACTTCTAGAATTGAGGACATGAACTTTTTTATCTTTCCAGTGCTGATGCCACAGAATTCAGAAGTGTCTGGAAGAAGAACTTGTGTAACATTGAACCTCACTGCCCAGACTGAAAAATAATTTGCTAACATTAGTGCCTTGGCTTTTGAAAAGGAAAGAAAAGAGGATACTGAAAGCAGAGAGAACAGATGCATGATGAACATAAGTAGCTCTGCTGCTACACACATGTAAAAGTGAGCACGAAAGGAAAACCAACTGGTGTGGACTACACCTGTAAATCCCAGCACTGTGGGAGGCAGGAGGGTCCCAAATTGAAGCCTAGCCTGGGCAACTTGTGATATGGTGCTAAACCCTATAAAAAAAAAAAAGTAAAAATTGAAAAGGGCTGGTGTCACTCAGTGGAAAGGTCCTGGGTTCAATCTACCTCTATTTACATTCACTGTAAGACCTTACACTGTAAGTCCTGTGCCCCAGGACTAGAGTCCCTGCAAATTCCCATGCCTGTATCACCATTTTCTCCAGTCAGAGCTTCTCGATGCCAAGGCCACCTGACACCCAAAGCCTCCCTTGCCCTTCTTTATGCCCGGAGTAACTGACTCTCACTAAGCCTGCGTGAACGTTCCTTGTGCATGTTGTTGCCGTACCACTGTAGACTCGACTTAGAATCTTAGACAGATTCCGGGGCCCAGCATTTAGGTCAGCAGCACCACACCTGCCTTGCAAGCACAAGGTCCTGAGTTTGATCCCCAGTACCAAAACAACAACAAAGGATTCTGCAACCCATGCCTCCTATATCCTTCCCAGCTTGCTTGCTTCCTTTTCTGTTTTGGTGATACTGGGAATTGAACTCAGGGCCTTTGCATTGAGCTACATCCTCACACCCCTCCCTTTTTGCTTTTGAGATAGGATCTCACCAAGTTCCCCAGGCTGGACTGAAAATTGCGTTCCTCCTGTCTCAGTCTTCCAGAATGCTGGGATTACAGATGCATGCTACCAAGCTCTTATCCTCGCCTACATTTTAAACCTCTCTAACTGCTGCTCACCTCTGGCACCCACATCCACTTCATGGGTGTCACACCTTGATCCACAAGTCTGTGGATTCCTGG